TATAAAGTTATTTAATTAAATTAATTTCTTTAGTTTCTTTTAGTACTTGATTGTGGAGAGGCTAACGCTGTGCAATCCTTGCTGAAATTTTTGAGACAGAACTCTGGGTCTCCAGTTACTTTCTGTGGGAGTTGAGGGGTTTTCTTTATTTACACACTGGAGAAGGGCAGTGAAGTCTAGCCTACCCAAGGCTAAGTCTAGACTGGCATGATTTTCCGGAAATGCTTTTAACGGAAAAGTTTTCCGTTAAAAGCATTTTCAGAACCGAGCATATAGATTGGCACGGACACTTTTCCGCAAAAGCACTTTTTGCGGAAAAGCGTCCGTGCCAATCTAGACACGCTTTTCCGCAAAAAAGCCCCGATCACCATTTTTGCGATCAGGGCTTTTTTTGCGGAAAATAAATCTGAGCTGTCTATACTGGCCCTTTTGCGCAAAAGTTTTGCGCAAAAGGACTTTTGCCCGAACAGCAGCAACATAATTTTTCCACAAGAACACTTACAATCTTACATGAGATCGTCAGTGCTTTTGCGGAAATTCAAGCAGCCAGTGTAGACAGCTGGCAAGTTTTTCCGGAAAAGCGGCTGATTTTCCAGAAAATCATGCCAGTCTAGATGTAGCCCAAAGGTTACAGAAGATCTGACCTTTCCCATCCATCCACACTGCAAAAAATCTCATCAGGCTCTCATCATCTTGTACCTCAATTACTCAAACAGCCTACCTTTTGGCCTTGACAAATGCAATATAGTGTCATTCCCTGCCATGCAGAACGCAGCTGCAATGATAAATTTCCTAGCCTGTTGCTTTGAACATGTCACTCTTCTCTGGACATCTTTCCACATGTTCCCCTTTCTTTCTTGTATCAAACATAAGCTGCTTGTCTTTACTTTCAAGGCCATTTGTGGCCTATTTGCAATTTCATTTCTTAGTCTTGAAAGGTTTATTTCAACCTTTGAGCAGCCTACGATGCCCGCCAACAGCTCCCAATGTTAGATTTTCAAACAAGCTGCTTCATGCTTCACATGTGCTGCCCCTCATGCTTGTGAGGAATGCCCCATAAACATCCATCAAGCTACCTTATTACAGGGTGTCCCCACTATGTCACCCTGGTATACCTCTGTTCCATACTAAAGTTATTGGTGCTTGTAGGAATTGATGCGTTATAAGTCCTCCCATTACCTGCTCTTAAACCCCAAACCCACCCCAATTTGCGCAAATGGAAGTCAGCTGCAGGAAAAAAATTCCCTGCTTTAAGTTGTTTCACTGTAGTCCAAGTTTTTTTGGAACATATTTTGGACTTATAGCGAGGACAGCCTGTATACACTTTCAAAACTCCCTTAAGCTCCCCTTTGTTGTGATGCCTGCACAAAGCTTGACAGCTGGAGTGCTGAGACCACTACCTAACCTGTTGACCAATATTGCTTCACTGTTTCCTTGTACTCCTCTATCTGTTTCCATCTCTTGTCTTATACTAACTAACACTGTAAGGTCCTTGGGGCCTTGTGCAGCATGTAGCACAGTGGGGCTTTGGTCCATGATTAGGCTCCTCGGCACTATGTAATGCAAATATTAGTAAAGGTTTAGTCTACAAAAACCAATAGTTAAACTGGCTAATAAAAATGTGGTGATACTATCTATGGTGCCAATTACACTTCAAAATGTTTAATGTATTTGTGTTCATACTATCTGGGTGATGTACAGCAGGGCCATTACTGCATTTTACAGATGGGGAACTGAGGCACAAAAAGAGTAGGGAATTGAACTTGGCTCTTTTAAGAACCAGGCTAGAACCCTGACCATGGAATGATCCCCTCTCTACTTTGTGTATGTTCATCCATACACTTTGCAAGATCTGTTCACTAACCCAAGGCTCATCTATGCTTTCAGACTATCTGGATGGTTCTGTTAAAAGGACCAGTCTTGAAAGAGTCAACAGTATTGCCACTTAAATTATCATAGGTAGGTTTCTGAATTAACACCTGATTGAGACAAAGTGTTACCAAATTTGGGATTACATCACTGGTCTGTCCACACACAATATTTTTGTTAAAGCCCCAGCTCCTGAGGCTAGGTGATTATATGATAATCCCATCTTCTTTGTTTTTGCAACGAAAAAGGTTTCTAGCCCTCTTGATTATGAAGGAAAGTTTGAAAATGTGAATTCCAATGGTGCAAGACACAAGAAGGTATTTAAAAAGTAACCATCATTTTACAAAATTTTCTGATATTTAGCTTCAAGAGGGATAGCCGTGTTAGTTTGTAACTGGAAAAACTTAAAAAACAAATAGTCTAGCAGCACCTTAGAGATGAAGAAGGAGGTTGTGCCCACGAAAGCTCATGGTACCATCTACATGTTTTGTTACTCTCTAAGGTGCTGCGAGACTATTTGTTTTTAAAATTTTTTCTGATATTTAGGTCAATCTAATGATTTGGGAGGTCCTGACTTGCAGTTTTTGAATGCCTGAGGTTGACAGTACTATGAATACACGTCTCTTAGGGTTCTGGTTTTGTATGTATGCAGATTGTCAAATCATCTGACCTTGTGCTGCCTGCAGGTGGCTTTTTGCACAAGTTAAGGGCTAAATAAATGTTTTAAAATTAAAGTTTGAACACTACAGAACATGACTGATTGGGTCACCAGAAAAGTCCTGGTATGGAATTCTATACAGTGATTGTTCAACCTGACCTCTGAAACCATACACATTGGAGTGTGATTGTAGTCATGCAATGTGACTGCAAAAATGATACTTATTTAATTCATCATTTTGGTTCTGACCCACAGCCCACTGAAATGAACAAGACTCACTGCTTACCTCAATGGGCTCTGAATCAGGCTTCTAGTATTTAAGATCCCAAACTGGTCCCTAGAGCACCTGCTGCTGGTCTGTAGAAAGTTGTATGTTCATATGGTGCCAGAGCCTTATTTCTAGCTGCTCAATTACATTAAAAGACAGCTACAAACGCACCAGATACTAACTATCACTTTTCCAAGTTAGCAATACAGTGTTGCCACTTGACCAGTTTTTCTACTGCCTGGGCTTTTCCACTGCAGCAGGTTGGTTTTCTTTCACTTTAAGCAGGCTCCTCTTTGGCACAGTGGGTGGTGGTGGGAGTGGGTGCCCGAGAGGGGAAGGGGATGTGGGGGAAGGGGCAGATGACCATTTCGCGGGGCCCAGGGCAGCACAATTTGGCAGGGCCCCCCTTTGCCATGGCACATGCGCGGGGCTTTTTGAAACGCGGGGCCCGGAGTGGCCGCCCCGCTCGCCCTGCCCTATCTCCGCCCGTGTGGGGGGATGTCTGGGAGGGCAAGTGGCAGGGCAGAGTGGTGGGGAAGAGGAGGGTCAGGCTAGTGGTGACAGCCTGCCTGGGCTGGGCAGGGCAGTGGGTCTAGGGACAGGTGTGGGGGGACAGCTGGCCTGGGAGAGTTAAAGGGGTGGGGGGGTGAGGACGCTTGGG